GTCAAAAAAAAAAGAAAGGAAGGAAGAGGGTAGAACCGAAAAGTTTTTGTTTTTTCTTTTATAAAGGGCAATGATTAGAAGCGACAAGAAGGAGGTGAAAGGAACGTTTTACATTTATGAGAACCACTTAGATTAGGCAAAACCAGCATGCATAGGAGAATATATTTCACACTCCTTTTTTTTTTTTTCCTTGAGATAGGGTCTCGCTCTGCGTCACCCAGGCTGGGTTATAAGTGGCACTATCCACAGCCTCGTCCCCAACTGCTGCGAATTACAGCGTGAGCCACCATACCTGGCGTCACCTCCCTTTATTTTATTTTATTTTTTGATGGAGTTTGCTCTGTTGCCCAGGCTGGAGTGCAGTGACACCATCTCAGTCACTGCAAGCCCGCCTCCTGTGTTCATGCCATTCTCCCATGCCTCAGTCTCCCAAGTAGCTGGGACTACAGTGCCCGCCCACCACGCCTGGGCTAATTTTTTGTGTTCTTAGTAGAGATGGGTTTCTCCATGTTGTCAGGCTGGTCTCGAACTCCTGACCTCAGGTGATCCGCCCACCTCGGCCTCCCAAAGTGCTGGGATTTAGGCATGAGCCACCCGCGCCCAGCCAGTCACCTCCTCCTTTTTTAACAATGGGAGCAAGCAACAGGTAGAGTAAGTTTCCTTGAGACATCATTAACTCAACAAAATGTTTGAGGTGTGTTCATGTGCTCATGTGTTTTGAGACAGTCTTGCTCTGTTGCCCAGGCTGGAGTGCAGTGGTGCGATCTCTGCTTACTGCAACCTCTGCTTCCCGGGTTCAAGTGATTCTCCTGCCTCAGCCTCCCGAGTAGCTGGGACTCCAGGCATGCACCACCATGCTCGGCTAGTTTTTGTATTTTTAGTAGAGATGGGGTTTCGCCATGCTGCCCAGGCTGGTCTCGAACTCCTGGCCTCAAGTGATCAGCCCACTTTGGCCTCCCAAAGTGTAGAATTACAGGCATGAGCCACCGCACCTGGCCTCTTCTACCCTCCTCTATTCAATTACTGGAGGCCTGCAAATGAAACTGACAAAAGACCAATAAGAGAGTTTATGCATGCAATGCACATATATGTGGGAATGCTCAGTAATGAGTAACACAAAGAGGTGGCTAGAATTTGTGGCTTATGGCTGGGCGCGGTGGCTCATGCCTGCAATCCCAGAACTTTGGGAGGCCGAGATGAGTGGATCACTTGAGGTCAGGAGTTCGAGAACAGTCTGGCCAACATGGTGAAACCCCTCTACAAAAATTAGCCAGGTGTGGTGGCACACACCTGTAGTCACAGCTACTCGGGAGGCTGAGGTGGGAGAATTGATTCAACCCAGGAGGCGGAGGTTGAAGTGAGCCAAGATTGCACCATTGCACTCCAGCCTGGGCGACAGAGCAAGACTCTGTCTCAAAAAAAAAAAAAAAAAAAAAAAAAGATTTTGTGGCTATATCTAACAGTAGAGGAAGGAGGAGGAAGAAAAGGACAAAGAGATTTTTAAAGGAAATGTAAGTGGGTTTTTTTTTTGTTGTTTTTTTGTTTTTTGTTTTTTTAAGACAGAGTCTCTCTCTGTCGCCCAGGCTGGAATGCAGTGGTGCAATCTCAACTCACTGCAAGCTTCCGCCTCCCGGGTTCAAGTGATTCTCCTGCCTCAGCCACCTGAGTAGCTGGGACTATAGGTGCGCACCACCACCCCTGGCTTATTTTTGTATTTTTAGTAGAGTTTGGGTTTCACCATGTTGGTCAAGCTGGTCTCAAACTCCTGAACTTGTGATCTGCCCTCCTCGGGCTCCCGAAGTGCTGGGATCACAGGCGTGAGCCACCACACCCAGCCACAAGTGGGTTTTTAAGAGAACAAATGAGAGTTAAAGTTTGTGATAATATGTGGCCATATAACTAAGTCTTTCTGCCTTCTTCAGGGCCATAAAACTTCCCTGGAGGGAGAATTCATGATAGCCTCATTTCTCAGAAGTTGCTGCTTTTAGTCAGATAAGGGAAGCTCCGAGAAGAATTCTTTATGAATCTATTGAATCTCAAATGTGTTCTGCTTACAATAATCTTTATACTAACTCTGGAGTTCTGAATTAGTATAAAGGTTCTTGCACCCTCATGAATATGAGACTATTAAAATCCCTTGCTGATATCCAGATTCTACTGCCTGTGCCTTCAGTGTTCCCCTAACAATCTATTAGCCAAATAATTTAAAACTTACAAAGTAACTGGGGAAATCCATCTTGAAACATGACACAAAGAGGTATCGAGGCCTTTAAATATGCCGAGTGACTAGGTTCAGACCAGATAGTAGTAAATTCAGGAGTTTCAAAAAGGGAATATTCCTTGGAGTTAGAAAAGGTTTTCTGCAGTTCCTAGGCTCAACAACTTATTCATGCATCTGAAGACCTGGATTGCTGGGAACAGTGGCTCATGCGTTAATCCCAGCTACTCAAGAAGGTAAGGCAGGAGGAGGTTGAGGCCAGGAGATAAAGACCAGTCTGGGGCTGAGCATGGTGGCTCACACCTGTAATCCCAGAACTTTGGGAGGCCAAGGCAGGTGGATCACGAAGTCAGGAGTTTGAGACAAGTCTGACCAACATGGTGAAACTCTGTCTCTACTAAAAATATAAAAATTAGCTGGGCATGGTGGCAGGCGCCTATAGTCCCAGCTACTCATGAGGCTGAAGCAGGAGAAGCGCTTGAACCTGGGAGGTGGAGGGTGCAGTGAGCTGAGGTCATGCCACTGCACTCCAGCCTGGGCAATAGAGCAAGACTCCATATTGGGAAAAAAAAAAAAAAAAAAAAAAGACCAGCCTGAGCCACACAGTGAGATCCTGTCTCTTAACAACAACAAAAAAGCAAAGAACATGGTACTTACCCTCATGGAGTTCACCCTCTAGTTGAGTAGACATATAACTACCAAAGGAATAAATTAAGATAATGACGACAGAATATAGCGAAGAAAGTAAGCAGGGTGCTGTTTATATGTGAGGTAGTGTGGGACAAGAGTCAGCTTTAGAGAGGATGAGGGTCAGGAAGTCTCTCTGTGTAGCTGGCAAGGAACTGATAAGGAGTCTGTCAGGAAAGAACATTCCATGCTGACAGAGCAGCTAGTGCTGAGGCCCTTCGAGGAAGATTTGGCAATGAGGAGAAGAAGGAGTAGAGAATAGCTTAAGAAAAAGCAAGGGTGGGAGCGGTTTGCAGCATGGGTTGGAGGAGAGAAGCAGTGGAGTATAAAGAAAGAAACAAGGCCAGGTGCGGTAGCTCATGCCTGTAATCCCAGCACTTTGGGAGGCCGAGGCAGGCAGATCACCTGAGGTCGGGAGTTCGGGACCAGCCTAACCAACATGGAGAAACCCTATCTCTACTAAAAATACAAAATTAGCCAGGCATGGTGGTGCATGCCCGTAATTGCAGCTACTCGGGAGGCTGAGGCAGGAGAATCACTTGAACCCGGGAGGTGGAGGTTGCAGTGAGCTGAGATTACACCATTGCACTCCAGCCTGGGCAACAAGAGTAAAACTCTGTCTCAAAAGAAGAAAAAAAAAAAAAGCTAGGTGCAGTGGCTCACGCCTGTAATCCCAACACTTTGGGAGGCTGAGGCTGGCGGATCATGAGGTCAGGAATTTGAGAGCAGCCTGACCAACATAGCAAAACCCTGTTTCTACCAAAAATACAAAAATTAGCCAGGCATGGTGGCGCACACCTGTAATCATGAGGCTGAAGCAGGAGAATCGCTTGAACCCGGGAGGTGGAGGTTGCAGTGAGCTGAGATTGTGCCAAACATCTTTTGTTATTCCAAATATTTGAGCATTACTTTATATCTAAGCATATACATGTGAGTACATGCTCAAACATATAATTCCTATGTTTCTAAAGTCTTTGAAGCAATTTATAGAAATATAACATGAAATAAATTAATGGGTTAAATAATTGGTGTGGAGGAAAGAAGGCAAGCAGGAGAAGGAAAATAAGCTAAAACCAACTGTTATGACACACAAAACTGTATATTATATAGTTCTAGACAATAGCTAGACCTGGGCCATAAATTTGATTCTGAGCTTCCAGGGACAAAGCCATAGGGAAATCTGAACAATGATTGATGAAATTTACTTTCCCTATGGAGTCTTGCTCTGTTGCCCAGGCTGGAGTGCAGTGGCACAATCTTGGCTCACTGCAAGCTCCGCCTCCCAGGTTCACGCCATTCTCCTGCCTCAGCCTCCCAAATAGCTGGGACTATAGGCGCCTGCCACCACACCTGGCTAATTTTTTGTATTTTTTGTAGAGACAGGTTTTCACCATGTTAGCCAAGATGGTCTCGATCTCCTGACCTCAGGTGATCTGCCCGCCTCAGCCTCCCAAAGTGCTGGGATTACGGGTGCGAGCCACCGCGCCTGGCCAAAATAAAGTAGCTCTTAAGAGAAATATAGCTTCCTGGTAATAAGATCCGAGAGAAATTTTCCCTAATTATGAGTCACTCTATAACACAGTGGTCAAAGTCCTCAACAATATCTTTACAATAACTACAACAGCAAGATTCCTAGGGCCATCTCTTACAACCAGCTTTGGTGTGTAAAACCAAAATGCAATTCAGCACAAGCAATTCTACAAGAGACAGGGGTAATCCAGCTACATAGCTTATTCTAATAGTCATAAATAAGGGATAACGTTTACATTGTTTAGAGAAGTGGATAGATTACTTATCTTTCAAGTAATCCCCAGTGAGTGTTATTTTTTTCACTTGAGTTTTTGATGAATAAAGTGCAGAGAAAGTTTGAAGTTATTTTTCTGGTATGAAACTAGAATGGAAATGATTTTGCTGCTGAGTAATAGTTGATTTAGCACTCAATGGAGCTGAAGGTAGGACTGACATTCTTTCAGAACAATGAGGCATCTAACAGTGTGATAGCCCCAAAAGAAGGCCATCCTACTGCCATTTGGAAATGGGCCTAAGAAGTTATATGTGCAAAGACAAGACTTTCTTCAGAAAATAGATCTAGACTCACTTAAACACATGGACAAGTGATGTCTCAGGCCCCAAAGTTCTTCCACACAAATGTAGTCGAGGTCATTCGAGCTCCCAGAAGTCAAGAGAATATCTTAATGAATTAGTTAAGAAATTTACTTACCAGATAAGGGCATTATTTGTATGCTATTTAAGTTTTCTGACAACAAATCAAAATATTGGACAAAAGTTACCAAAAACAATATTTGAATGAAAAAAGAGTTGTTTTCAAGTCACGCTTTCTGACAATAATTATGCAGAAAGACTGGATGGTAATAATACCATATCTACAACATAAAAATAAAGGACTTTTCCTTCTTAACAAAAGACCATGAACTAAGCTCATCTAAAAGTTGTTTCAGTTTGTTAAGGAGCACCTTTTGAAAAAAAAAAGGAAGTTCTCTCCTTGAACCAATAAAGTTATCTGATCTGCTGGCATGACAAAGACTGGCTAGCTGGTTACCAAACCATTTTTTTCCCCTGTGGGACCAGAGTTCAGCTACATTTCCCAGCTCCCCTTTTAGTTAGTCATGGGCAAGTAGTTCTGACCAGTGGAATTTGATGCATTTAACCTTCAAATGAAGGTACAAGAAACCTCAGAGTGATCCTGATATACTGACGAGAGCAGACTTTCATCACTCTGAGTTTCTCAACACCCAACCTTATATTGGGCTTATGTGGAGAGAAATACTCTCCTATTGTGTTAAGTCATTGAGGTTTCAAAGTTTATTTTTACAGCAGCTAGCATATAGTCAATATAGCATTTAACTAATAGTCAAGAATTATACTTCTAGGACAGGCGCAGTGGCTCACGCCTGTAATCCCAGTACTTTGGGAGGCCGAGGCGGGCGGATCACCTGACGTCAGGAGTTTGAGACCAGTCTGACCAACATGGCAAAACCTTGTCTCTACTAAAAAATACAAAAATTGGCCGGGTGTGCTGGTGGGCACCTGTAATCCCAGCTACTGGGGAGGCTGAGGCAGGGAGAATTGCTTGAACCCGGGAGGTGGAGGTTGCAGTGAATTGAGATTGTGCCACTGTACTCCAGCCTAGGTGACAGAGTAAGACTCTGTCACAAACAAACAAACAAACAAACAAAAGAATATACTTCTTACATTTCAACTGTTCTGTACAAAAAAAAGTCTTTTAAAAAAGAAAAAAAGAATATACTTCTACTCTATCTTAGAGTAAGTCTTTTTTTTCCCCCCTGGCTGCTGGGTGACATGCAGGCCCAAATAAGTGTAATTTTTTTTTTTTTTTGAGACGGAGTCTCGCTCTGTCACCCAGGCTGGAGTGCAGTGACCGGATCTCAGCTCACTGCAAGCTCTGCCTCCCGGGTTTACGCGATTCTCCTGCCTCAGCCTCCCGAGTAGCTGGGACTACAGGCGCCCGCCACCTCGCCCAGCTAGTTTTTTGTATTTTTTTTAGTAGAGATGGGGTTTCACCGTGTTAGCCAGGATGGTCTCGATCTCCTGACCTCGTGATCCGCCCGTCTCGGCCTCCCAAAGTGCTGGGATTACAGGCTTGAGCCACCGCGCCCGGCCAAGTGTAATTTTTTATAAGAATTTACCTCTACCTCTCTGCACTTCAGTTTCCTTGCTTGTAAAATGAAGATATTAACAGCACTTACTTCACAAGTTTGCTCTAACAATTAAATATGTTAATGCATGTAAAGTACTGTACTTCTAACAGTGCCTGACAAATAGTAAACATTTCATTCATGTTAACTATCATTGTTATTATTACAAATCTTTCTAGTGGTATTAAGATGTAGCTTCCATGTAAGAATATCCCAAATTTTTTCTAACTCATTCAGACTGCAATTACAAATGATGTCACATTTATGTTTCTATCTGCATAGTGCTGATCCATGCCTCCATCACTGTAGAGATTCAGTACATTTCTCAGCACCCTGGGTTGTCTCATACATGCTCCGAAATTGTTTTTCCTCTCTGACCTCCGTATTGTTGTCAGCCCACCATGTTTGAAGCTCCTGGGGCAGAACTGGGGGCAGAATGAGGAGAGCTTGCTACCATGAGTATGCTGATCCTGCCCAGAGATCCTGCCTCTCATTTGTCCCCAAGCTGCAGACACTCAGAATGCCAAAATAGACTTCTATCCACTTGTAATTGTTTTTTTTTTTTCCTAAATTTGCTTTAACTTTGGAATTTTGTGTAATAATTTACCTCATTTGGGGAAACATTAGAAACACATCTAAAAGATTACCTCAGATATCACAGAAACAAATTTTACTTCACTTATTTTTTCATTGTCCTTTTTTTTTTTTGAGACAGAATTTCTTTCTTGTTGCCCAGGCTGGAGTGCAGTGGCGCGATCTCAGCTCACTGCAACCTCTGCTTTCTTTTTGGGCTATCACACTGCATATTTTGAGAACGTATATTTCACTAATGGTTTCCAATTCTATTTTGGCTTTATGAAAAACATTTTTCTGAAGTAGGGGTCTATAGACTTCCCTGAATGCCCAAAGGCGTCCATGGAAAAAAAGGAAACCTCTGGGATTTGGACTTGATATGGATTTGAACTTACCTCTACAATTCCCATGTATTTTCCGTATTACTCTCCTCTTGTAGTCCCAAAGGACAAAACATGAGCCACTACATGACATTCCCCAAGCAAGCATGGTAAGCATGATTCTTGTAAAGGTCGACACTGGAGTCCAAGCCTTGCCTACTTACCACTTCATTAATAGGTGCCGGGCAGTTACTAACCTCTCTGTGCCTCATTTTTTAGGGGTGTGAATTATATTGTCCCCCTCAATAAGGTTGGTTTGAAAGGTTAAATGAGTTAAGCTCTATTAACATGGTTTGGCTTGGGGTACAGTGGCTCAGGTGTCTATGAAGGTCCCAGCAGCTTTGGGAGGCTGGAGGGTGGGCGGATCACCTTGAGTCCAGGAGTTCAGGGACCAGCCTGGGCAACATGGCAAAACTTCGGTGTCTCTACCAAAATATACAAACAATTAGTGGGTGTGGTGGGTTGACCTGTAGTGTCACAGAATTTGGGAGGCTGAGGGTGGGGAGGATTACCTTGAGGCTCGGGGAGGTCAAGGCTGCAGCGGAAGGCTATGAGTCATGCCACTTGCACTTTAGCCTGGGGAACAGACGAGACCTTGTCTGAATAAAAAAAAAAATAAAATAAAATAAAATTAAAATATATCTAGCACGGAGCAAGCTCTCAGGGCAAATGT